CTCTCCTCTCCTCTCCTCTCCTCTTCTCTGGGATGGAAGGTTCTAGAAGATTGCCAGAAAGAGGGAAGGGCACTGTAGTAGAACCCACAGTTTCCAAGCTCTAGTATAAGGCTCCCCAACGTGGCGCCTGCTAAGCTTTTCAGAGAGTGGGCGGGGCCATTGTAAGGCAGAGTTTGTTGCTAGCTGCCCTCATGTAACTGAAAGGGGTTTCCACTGGAGGCTTAGGGGTGACCATCCGGGGCTTTCCTTAGTAAGAATGTGGCTCCGTTCCCCCTTCAGGCTTTCCTTCTTCCCGGGAGATGTGAGGAAGGAATATTTGGCTTTGCTCCACCTCCTGTGGCAGCCATTTTAGGGCCGGCTCTGCCTCCTGTGGCAGCCATTTTGGAGTGGTGCTCACCATCCACACACACACCCGAAATTCCAAAGGTGCCCACAGGCTCAAAAAGTTTGAGGGCCGCTGGTCCAGCAAGATGATCAGGATGAGATCCATACACCGTTGGATGTTGTGCCTTTGTAATGAATCGGCTCCTGGATTTTCGCTGTCTGTCAGAACAGGTTGTTGGGAGCAACCACAAAATGGCCGCCACAGGACGTGAGAGAGAAAATGAAGCCAAGACTACGTCTAGGGTTGCCATTCCCCCAGGGGTGCCAGGAGATCACCCAATTTCGAGAGCCCCAATCCGCCACGGCCCAGCTGGCCGGAGGGGGAAGCCCCCCCCCCTCGAGAAGTCCTCTCCTGGCGGTGGCAAAACGGTGACATCACCCGGAAGAGACGTATCGCATCTCCAACATCAGGGGCGATACTCTATGTTTCGGCAAAACTCTATGGTTTTGAGGCCCAAAAAACCCATAGAGTTTTGTCCAAAACCTAGAACGTCGCCCCCAACATTGGAAACACGATGATATCATTTCCGGGTTGATGTCATTGCAGTGTGCATGCTTTGCGCACGCGCGCTAGAAGATCTCCAGGAAGGATTAGAAGTCCCCCCGCTAGCAGTCAGGTAGGACCTGGCAACCCTAAGCCAATCAGAAGCCCTGCTGGGTGGGAGCCCCATCTCAACCCTCCCTTTCTTAAAACACTTGGCAGGCACAAGGGAAGGTGTCGGCAGGCACGATGGTGCCCACGGGCACCGTGTTGGAGAACCCTGGGCTAAAGTCTGAGAGAGCGTAATTGAATTGAGAAAAAGCAGTCCCTCATTGTTGGGAAAATAGACCCCCTGCTTTTTTTCATTCTCCATTCGGGCAACACACCGGAAGCAACGGAGCTTTTGGAGAAATAAGCAAGGAACATCCCTTAATTCGCAGCCTCTTTAGTCGGTGATGGGCCTCACCGATCTAAAAAATTACCCTTCCCGATTAATCAACAAAGGCTGAATCTTTAACTCGAAATAAACAGGACGCGTTCATGTTCTGGCCCCGCTGGTGGACCTCCTGGTGGCCCCTGGGTTTTGGCTACTGTGTGACACAGAGTGTTGGACTGGATGGGCCATTGGCCTGATCCAACATGGCTTCTCTTATGTTCTTATATCTGGAGCAGTGATGTTCTCTATTCTTGGTGTTTGGGGGGCAACAGTGGGAGGGCTTCTGGAGTTCTGGCCCTGCTGGTGGACCTCCTGATGGCCTCTGGGTTTTGGCCACCGTGTGACACAGCGTATTGGACTGGATGGGCCCTTGGCCTGCTCCAACATGGCTTCTCTTATGTTCTTATATCTGGAGCAGTGATGTTCTCTATTCTTGGTGTTTGGGGGGCAACAGTGGGAGGTCTTCTGGAGGTCTGGCCCAGCTGATGGACCTCCTGATGGCCCCTGGGTTTTGGCCACCGTGTGACACAACATATTGGACTGGATGGGCCCTTGGCCCGATCCAACATGGCTTCTCTTATGTTCTTATATCTGGAGCAGTGATGTTCTCTATTCTTGATGTTTGGGGGGCAACAGTGGGAGGGCTTCTGGAGTTCTTGCCCTGCTGGTGGACCTCCTGATGGCCTCTGGGTATGGGCCATTGTGTGACACGGAGTGTTGGACTGGATGGGCGGCTGGCCCGATCCAGCATGGCTTCCCTTACGTTCTCATGCTTCTGTGGTCTCTGTGGTGGGGTTCGTGGACAAGCGGACCGGGGCCTGCGGCTGTAGCTGCCGCCGCTCATCTGTTGCTCTGCCCCGTCGCTCTCCGCAGGTCCTGCACTGTGCCGGCCACATGAGGTCCTACGTGCCTGCCAAGCCAGCGGGGGACAAGGAGCCGGAGGGGGGTTTCACGGAGCCCCCGCTGCGTTGCCTGGTGCTGATCTGCGAGGCCATCCCGCACCCGGCCAACATCGAGACGCCTCTGGACAGCGGCACCTTCCTCAGCCGCCACACCATGGACATGAAGTTCACCTACTGCGATGACAGGTGAGGCGGAGGCGGCGAGGGTGGGAACGTTTTTGGGGCGGAGCTTCCCGGGAGACCTCCTACTGCCATACAGACAGGGGTCATTTCGTAGAAAAAGAGGTGCAGGAGCTCATTGGAATAACTCATTAGTATAACTTATTTGCATATGCCACACCCCCTGACATCACCGGAAGTGTGTCAGAAGGCAACACCCACTGCTCAGGCTCCACTGGACTGTTTTGGATTGCTAGCTATGGGGGGGGGGATGGGGGACGCGCAGATCTGTCCTCACAGAAGAGGGAGAGCTTGTACCTGAATAAAACTTGGTCTTAAAGGTGCCACTGGACTGTTTTGGATTGCTAGCTATGGGGGGGATGCGCAGATCTGCCCTCACAGAGGAGGGAGAGCTTGTACCTGAATAAAACCGGGT